TTCACTGTCCGGTCACTGTCGGATCTCTGTCGGATCGCCTTCGGGAGAATCGGGACGCTGTCGGGACGAATTCGGCTGGAAACGGCTGAATCGGGACGCTTCCTGAACAATATCTGATTATTTGTGAACTTCCCGCCACGTATACCAGGATCTTGATCAGACTTTTGACAAATTTTAATCGGGAATGGTCCTATCAAGGAAGGCAGTAAAAATCCTGAATGTGTGACTGAGCCCTTAGGCAAGGTGCTCCAGGGCACCAACACCACCACTACTACCAGAATGTGCTGACATGGCGCATAGTGCTTCTTGTATATATGTGGTGAAAGTGACCCAGGAATAAGGCCGTGTTCAGTGTTGGTAACGGGTTAGATTTATAACACAGAGATTTTGGGAGGCTCACTCTGATCCCATCGCGCGCATGTTGGTTTGGTTGGTTGGTTGGTTTGTTGTTTAACGCCGCAGTCAGCAATATTCCAGCTATATGACGGCGGTCTGTAAATAATCGAGTCTGGCCCAGACAATCCAGTGATTGATAACATGAGCATCAATCCATCTTGACTAGAGTGTATAAAATTCCAGATATCTATTTCAAAGTCAATGTATTTCTTATTCTTTGACCTTTTCTAAGTTTGAACGTTTTCTAATGATTTTAGCTAAAGTTAATGCAAATGTGGTACCCGAGTATCTTATATATAAGGGAAATATTCAATAATTCACTTTGACATTACGCCTTTTTCCTGACTTGAAAATTTCCGTTGAAACAGAACTGTGCGGGATAATATGTAATATTCTGTTACACTGCCATCTGACTATTCTATTTATCATACAATTAGCCTCCCTGCCTCTATAATTGCAAGGAATATCAGAGACTAATTATCGGTATATGGTCTCTGGCAATATCTACCAACGGCCACCACCTACAAAGATAAGTCGTGACAGCCAGCAAGTTATTCGGTTGCAGTTTACTGATTTTTGTTTACGCATTCGTTGGTTATATTGGACCACAAAACGGGAGGTACGTGTGGCTGTTTCTTCAACATTCTCTTTTCTAATAATGTTGACAGGATGCGACAGTTGCGTTGTCGTGGATCGATTAAGTACTGGAAACAATCCGCGAAGTCACGTGAGCGTGGAATGGCAAATTTGAGCAAGTTGAAAACAATCTGCGTAGAACTCTACTGGTGGAATTCATTGCTTCCACTAGGAGCCACGTGCAGAGCGCCAAACTCTAACACGCGAGAGTTCGTCAATGAAAGCTCGACCAATAGAAATTCCAGAGCACGCTGAAGCTCAATTGACAATGTCATTCAAGCAAAGGGAGGAGCTTGATGAAATCACTCTCTCGCAGTAAATTTCGATGCCAAATAACGACAGATTCTAGATGGTAAAACGATGATTAGAAAGCGTGAAAAAACGTCGTTTTTTCGTCCATTGCCATATACGAGAAAAAACGACGTTTTCGTGTTTGCAGTGACTAGTAGCTATTATTGCGGTGTACATTTACAATACCATGGCGTTGCATCTGGACGCGACATCTAATCACAATGAAAAGTCATGCATAAACACCTGCACACAGACGCCAAAGTGTGTGCGCTATGGGGGAACTCAAAATCACAAATGCAATTTAACTAAACACACGTTTAAAAATGCCACCGAGATAAAATGGCAAATTATGGGTACAACATAGGTGGAAACGTCAATATACCAAGGGGCCCGAATGTTTGGCATATCAAAAAAAGTAATTTCTCGAGTATGGGACCGGTGCCGTCAAACCTTGGAGTGGCAGGCCCAGACAATAATTGCACTACGCATTAGATTTAGATATGCTCCTGTCATCAATAGAAATTTCCGCAGAATAACAGAAAATTTCAACATCTACCGTTAAAAATCGGCTCTATGCAGCCCACCTGAAGGCAAGGCGTCCTGTGAAGAGTATGACAATAACAGCCTACCATCGGCGGAAGAGATTGGTGTGGGCTAGCAAACACTAGGGACGAGCTGTGCACCATGCGTTACACCATGTTTACAGACGATTCACAGATGGCAGAAAACGTTGTCGGCGACGTAGCGGCGAACTAAATGCAAGGGCAACAATTCTTTACCATGATCGGTTTGGGGGCGGAAGTGTCATGAACTGATATTAGTCATTGTTGAATGACACTTGACTGGGCTGCAATATGTTGACGAAATTTTGCGTCCTGTCCCTGTTCCATTCGTTAGACTTATCGGCAGGATTTTTGTTCAGCAAGACGATAATGAGAGAAAAGGCTACGGACAATGGACTGGCCCGCTAAGCCCTCTGACATGTCCTCAGTAGAGCATCTGTGGGATGTTCTCGGGCGGAGAGTGTTCTCCAGAGACCCAGCATCCACCAAGGTGGCCCAGCTTAGCATAGCTCTTCAGGCGGAATGGCGGGGAATATAGAGGGCAAACCTACCCCCAAGTTAATCAACAGTATGTCATCAAGATATCGTGCATGTATCGCCCAGCATGGTGGACACACCAGATATTGATCTACACGCCCGAAATTAATATCACAGACATTTATTGCCTTACACCTTAACTGTCATTTCAACAGTTCCCTTATTTTCTGTCGGAAGAATAAAAACTGTCTGTGTCTTTTCATATTTGGAGAGTAACTGATAGAAGCGTCAGTAAAGGGTCTTGTTGCATGATGTAAGTTATCTTGTGAATATTTGAATATGTACAAAATCCAGTGTTAAGTTCATTTGCCTTTTTCAGTAGTTTAAAGTGTTGATTGGAAAAAATAAGTCACAGGAAAAGAGAAAGTGGATTTCATCTTCCACAATTTTGACATCTTGAGTTGCACAATAGTTTCACAGTCTATAGTCTAATAGTAGAGAGGTTTAGAATACCGACCAGTCTCTTCTGATAGGTAAAGTGCTCCACATCTGAATTTGGATAATAAGCCTACGTGATCACACATCACAATATGCTGTACATGGTTACTTACAAAACTATCAACTGGAAAAAACTTATCTATGTTATGAGTTTGTTGCCGTTAATTTTATTGTTATCATCCCACACACCTGCAAACCATGTGACCTTATCCCCATTAACTAGAAACACCCTTTACTTTTTACACTCCAAATCTCATTTCAAATCCAATTTACAACGAAACGGTTGATTAAGTTCAAAACTCTCTTGTCAAAGGAGGTGTTACATGGGAGAGACAACTCGTCAAATGTTCTTGTATTTTTTTTCTTGCATATTGTCACATCTGGAATACTGCCGAATAGTTCTGCTTATTGACCCACCACTGTTGACGTCCACCCCAAGTCTCCTTCCACTGTCAGATGAGATGAGTTTAATCCGACACAGAGGAAACTACCTGCACGTTCTGTTTTCAACAACTTGTATGTGTTGTATTTGTTGATTCCCATACACCGAGTCCGCAGAATGAATCAGGTTTCACCAGGGTGTCATGCAATTGGTAAACACTTGCTCTCTGAAATATACCTTGCCTTAGTCTAACATGGATACCCCACTCAGTTTTCGGTCGGGTAGCCTAGTGGTTAAAGCGTTCGCTCGTCAGGCCGAAGACCACGGTTCGATTCCCGACATGGATTCAATGTGTGAAGCACATTTCTGGTGTCCCCCGTCGTGATGTTGCAGGAATATTGCTAAAAGCTGCGTAAAGTCATACTCACGCACTCACTTTCCAGATCCCGACAGGACATTGAGTAAGCGCACATAAAATATCTTAACAATGGGCGGGTAACTCTCAAATCTCATAAATAACAAGAGTTATCTGCGCTGGATCTGACCTTGACCTCACCGATGACTACACGGAGGAAATGGATGTTTTAGCATGTTAGTCATGGCAAGTATCCTGGCATTATGGATTTTCGGACGCTTAAGAAACATTCGTCGTTTTTTCGCTAATCACATGAATAACTGTAAAACATCTCACCTAACTATATAGACAACTTTATCTTAAAATCAAGCCATCTTCCATGTCTTCGTGTTGTCAGAGCGCTAGGCCTATAGCGCGAGGGGTTCAGATTTTGCCTTACGGCTTTTAAAAATCTAACAGGATTTGTACATGGTAATTATTAGACCTACATTGCCCTCCGCATCCTAAACCTTATAAATCAGGTGAGATGAGGTGAAATAGGGTTTAGGGCCTAACGTCGCAAACAAATCAAGATTACTGCACTTAGCAGATACGCTATATCATGGCGGTAGTTAATTTATAATGGATCGTAATGGCGCACGCTGACTAACGTTTTAAATATGTCAGACGCCAAATGTTTCTTGCTCTTTGTCCAACTTTTAGGACACATCAAATAAGATTGATCGATGCTGATTTTCTTTTCCGAGTTGGGTAAACAAAACACCTGTCATTAGCAAATGAAGGGCGAGCAACTCTATAATTATTATCGTGGTATGGCTAGTTTGTGGTATGATACGTGTGGAATTATGTGCTTTACGTCGCTTATTGTTTTGGAATATGCATAATCAGTATGCATAAGTCTTAGGTTTGGTCAAGCGACTTTGTCCAAACAAATGTGTTCAATCAATTTCGAATGGAGGTGGGGGGGGGTACTTCCACTTCAGAAACATTCCATAAACTATCATAAACAAGTTAACGTGTATACGTACGAGAAGCCGTGACACAGGCTACCGAAACGAGTCCTGTTTTCGATAATATAGTCATACCAAGCGTGTGTATGTGTGTGCTTGTACTCGTCCGGAGTAATGCCGATTTTATAGTGCTAGCCCACTGAGACACCTTGCCGCATTTTAACATGAATAATCCACTCAAACACAGAATACTGACTCCGAGCCGACCAGCCCTGCTTTAGTGCAGTGAACATGACATGAAAATATACGCCAAAATATCCAGATAAAAATGCGTCACTTTATAATGTCAGCAATGGACACTTTCGCATTATAATTTATTTCATGTTCGCAATAATGTCATGATTTATCATATTTACAGAGACAATATTTACACGGTATCGTTTATATTGCAGGTGTTACTGCTACCCTTCAGGAGACTGAAGCTATGCATTCAGTATGGTGTGTGTACCATCACTGCCACGGGTTTCTCCATCATCCTCATTAATTTGCTGTCTTCTAAAGTAAGTTATATCTACTCTTTAAGGCGAAAAGAGGAGTGTCGGACATTTCCCCACCTGAACGCTTCCCCTCACGAACATTTCCCCACAGGACAATTCGCCACAAGCACTTTTTCCCCACATGGAATATAAATATGATATAAAACAAGAGACAACACAAAATGTACATCCGTACTATTTACAATTTGACGATGTATAATAATATGAATATTTAAAACCGTCATCACTTGTCAAGTTCACTAAAGTGTCACCAGATAGAAGCTGTCATTGATAAACGGATTCAAACCAAGCCAGATCTACTTTGACATAGAATGTATGTACTGGTAGAGTGACCTCCTTCCACCAGAGTGAAAGGATTACCCACAGAGAATTAAATGATTAAAAGCACCAACCGTGTCCTATCTACATGCTATTAAACATTCATTAGCAATTTGCTCTAATAATAAACTGTTACCTTAGGTATCCCCAAGCACCAATACTCAGCATGCCGATTGGGCAATTGTCATAATTACAAACCCAAACGAGATACTGCCTACATGGTCACTCCCTGTGATTGTCAAGATATCGAATCCTGTCCATATTCAGACAACATGGCAGTCTATATATATATTTCCAATATCTGCTTATAATTAGTGGTAAATGTTTGAAAGCACCTTCTGAAAAGAGTTATCCACCAAACATTCATTTATTAATTCTTTTTAAAGAAAAGTTGGGTGTGGGGAAATGGGGACTTTTGAACGGTTTTTTTGTGTCAGGCATGAAATCGCGAATGTTTTCGTTATCTGATCGTCGTCTATGGTAGTTGCTATCTTTGTGAATCTATACGAGATAACAACGGCGATCTAATTGGATATCCCCTATTCATTACAAGGGGCACAACTCGTAATCTACGTGAGGTTGCGCCAGGGTTGAGCCAAGAAAAGTGGCCTTGGTGTGGCAAGGGTAGAAACTAGGCTTTGATATAGGCTACTGGACACGCATGCCTCGGGAAGATGGTGAACAAGGATTCTAGTTTATCCTTTAAAGTATCATCATGTCTGGTAGGTCCGCCTTGTAGACTTTGGATGGATAGATCAGAAAGAATGATAAAGAAATGAGAATTATATATTATTATAAATATTTATATTAACATAGTAATTACATAAATAATTCAACATTAGTATTTCTCAAATCAAAAAGTATCAATTATTTTTAAATTAAATGAACTTTACCAGTCAGATTCCATCTCTCATATCACTTGCATTTGCTTCAAGCAACTTGGCGGCGCCCAGTCAAAAATCTGATCGATAATCAAGATCAATATTGTAATGAAATTGGTCGTACCCCGCTAAGTACATCACATCACTTGAGGACCTTGATTAAAAACATGAAAAAATGTGTACATTATCTGTCGACGACCAGTTGACAATACACATATTTCGCAAAACCTGCAGTCAATCGAAATCTGCATGTTTAAATCCATGTTGTTTACGAACGGGATGTCTATTTCGTTACGCGATTTTGTGATGAAAGTTAACTTAAAAGGTTTACGACAAATTCGCTTGTAGTTTGGGTCATTTGAGGGACGCTTCATTCAGTACGTCTTGCTGCGGCTTTTTGATGTTTGGGTCACACACATTGTTGCAAGGAAAGCAACTTCTGTATATACCGGGGAAGCCAACACGGTGTGTAATACAGGGTCAGAAATCAACACTGTCCTGCTACATGCACTTTATGTCAAGTATATATTGTTCAAGGTAAGGGAATCTAAAAGGTCATCTGATCTGTTGAATGTTCAGGCAAAGTTAACTTTCAAATAAATACAGACCATTTTTAGTTATGTATGTTCTAGATCACTGACGAGGTTGACTCATTCACATTTAAATCATATCTTTCATCCGATTCGCTCAGAGAGTGAGTGAGTTTGGTTTTACGCCGCTTTTAGCAATATTCCAGCAATATCACAGCGGGGGACACCAGAAATTGGCTTCACACATTGTACCCATGTCGGGAATCGAACCCGGGTGTTCGGCGTGACGAGCGAACGCTTTAACCACTAGGCTACCCGACCGCCCATCACCCAGAGAGGTGTATGGCATAGGAGAACGTAAAAGACCTGATGGTAATGAGATGTAACTACCCCCAACCGAATCATATTTCAGTCAAAGGTTTGTGATTATTCTCTTGATTTTTATTTTTTTAATTGATTGTATCGATTGAAATAATTGTAGAATATAATTCATTAATTTCAGCGCCAACCTTGCTATGGAGGTATAATTCCCGAAGATAACTTTGAATTATACAACAAATCGGAGCCACTGGAAGTTACAGTTGTCACAGCTTATTTCCACCTGCAACGATTCCGGAAAGGATCTGGAGGCTTTTTTGACACAAGTCTTTACATGAAGTGGGCGAACGTATACCAATATATTAGAAGCCCATTTGTGTTTTATACCGACTCGCCGGAAACTGCTGAAACATTCAGAAGGATGAGAGCAGGGTATGAAAATATTACAAAGATTTTACTGGTGGAAAGAAAAGCAGTGTGGGCTTTTGATTATGTAGAACGGATTAAAGCAATTTATTCAATACCGGGATACCCTAAGCACCACCCGAACACAGTTGTGCCTGAGTATTCGTGTGCCCAGCACGCGAAGTATGCAGTCGTTGAAGAAACCGTCCTGAAAAATTACTTCAACACGACTTATTTTGCTTGGATAGATATAGGATATTTTAGGTACATCGTTGGACGGAACAAAGAGTTTGTGATAGTAAAACCAGCTGATTTCAACGAATCTCGAATTGCAATGAACAAAGTGTACGATGTGAGTATGGACGTGAGTGTGGACAGTATATTCAAGGGAAATCGGGTGTGGCTTGGTGGAGGGATGTTTTTCGGGTCTGAGTACACACTACCGACTTTTATAGCCGACTATCGACACGCAGTTGAACGTTACCTGAATATGTCTCTTAGTAGCACAGATCAACAAGTGATTTATTCGATGAACACTATCAAAGAAAAGCCTTATGTGAGAAGACGGGTGTCCATACAGGCATATTCAGCCCGATATTGCTGGTTCTACTTGGGATTTTCATGTTACAGAGAGTTATCCTGACCACTATTGTGCCATAGCAAATGATCTCTATTGTATTGTAAGGATGATTATGCTTGTGTTGTCAATAACGGATGTTCACAGCTGTGATCATGAGGCAGTTTACACCGACCGTACACCATCGCTCTCCTAATGGGTGACCCATGGTTAGCTTCTGCTGATGATGTGTGAGTGGGTTTGATTTAACACCACTTTGAACAGTACTTCGGTTAAATACTATTAGTTTAAAAGTTTGAGAAAGTCCGAAGTGGTGGTCAAACGAAATATATAACTTTGGTAAAAGCAAGTTGCACGGGTATGGTGCTGACAAACCAAGGTTCATAATCAGACATACCCTTGGATTCGAACTGGGATTCTGGCACACGTAAGGGACGCAACTCTGCAGTAGGAATTCCGCATCTGACCCATGTTAAGATCCCAGGCGAGACTAGTTTCCCAGGACCACACTATAGTAACAGTCCATTGTTTTTAGACGAGTAGACATTTTTCAATTTGTACTTGTATTCAGATATACAAACAAATGTATTTTTCAGTCTCTTAATATTTTAAGAAACGTTTTGTAAAAAGCGTGAATTACTGTGGAAATGTCCCTGTGCATGTATATATTGTCAAATTTGAAATAAAAGTATTTTTCTACTCATTATGCAGACATATCTTTGTAATACATATTGCTCACAAAATATTTTATACAGATTGTTGCCACTGTGTATACATAATGTGTCTTGTATAAAGTGAATCACAGGGTTTTGTAGACCCGTTAAGATCCGGGGTAGAGAATAGATTTTCAGTAACCCATGCTTGCCGTGAAAGATGCAAATACGGGGTCAGACTGGGCCTACTTGGTTGATGCATGTCATCGTATCCAAATTGCGTGGATCGATGTTCATGATGTCAATTACTGTATTGTCTGGTCCAGACTCAATTATTTACAGACCGCCGCCATATTGTTGAGTGCTGCGTTAAACATGTCAAACAAAATACGACGCCTTAGACCACTGGGCAACCTATGCCCAATCAATTCATGCATCAACCAAGTCAGCGAGCCTGACCACCTGATCCCGTTAGTCGCCTCTCGAAGACCTATTCTACCCCGGATGTTCACGGGTCGTATTTCGATTTAGCGTTAAGTTCCTTTGTCGTTCATGAGTTCGAATCCCATATTTGTCCTTTTTATGATTCTAGATTTGTCAGTACCATTCCCGTGTCGTTGGTTTCTCCATAGTGGTAAATGTCTAAACCCTGCATTTCTGTAGACTTTCCGCGCAGATTGTATGTTGGAGCCACGTGTTTCTCAGTTGTAGATAAAGCAGTTGGACCGGTCGTCAAAGGCGCCGCAATTCGCTGTGCAGAGTTGCGTCCCTTGTGTACGCCAGAAACTTATGATTGTAGGTTCGAATCCCAATTCACCCCAATTATGTTTCTAGACTTGTCAACATCGTACCCGAAGGTTTCACCAAATTGGTAAACGACACGTTTTATCTACTGATTGAGTTGAGTTTAACGCCGCTTTGAACATTATTCCAGTTATATCACGGCGTGTCAGCTTAATGTGGGACAAAAGCCCGAAGTGATGCAGGTCTCAGATGTTATCACTTCTGTGAAACCCACTAGCGTGGCTATAACACTGACAAACCTAGAAGCATAATCAGGGCGATCCGGGACTCGAACCCACGACCATAGATTGCTGGCGTGTCCAAGGGACGTAACTCTGCACACCGAATACACCGAGTACCGATGAACACGTTTAGTATAATAACAAGTGGCTTTTCAGTTTCCTCGACACATCTCAGAGATTATCATTTTGTTTCCGACACCGAAGTCTGGGAAGCGGACGACTATGGTATTTCATCAGTTGATGTTACGTGGATACTGGCATCAGTTGGTGTCACCTGGATACCACTGATCAGTTGGTGTTACCAGGATACCACGGATCAGTTGGTGACATTTGCCTTGATTACATCAGTGGGACTTCAACTTCAACTTCAACGTTGTGACTGTTGTCCGAGGGGGGGGGGCAACTACAGTCGGGATGCCCCCCCGGAACATACATCAACGCCTCTGCCTTCAGTTCTCCTAAGGAGGTGGCAAATCATATTTTATGTCTTTACAAAAACACGATGAAATATATTGAAATACTCAGACTGAAAGACAAATATTTCTATGAGACAGAAACCTATATGTAAATAGATCCTGGAGGGAAGACGCTCCTGGAAAATAATTATGAAGCGCACCCGCTCTGTGAATTGGGCAGAAAACTCACCAATCTGCCGAACAATTATTCCAAATCCATCCCTAGCATTGCTAGATGGTTTGAAAAAGGCGTTTGCAGTTTTGCGACAGTAACGTATTTATCAGTGTCATATTTGTATGTCTTGATAATAGTTACTGTGTCAATATCGACAACAGGAGTCTTTGATATATTGATTGATCGTCATATATCATAAACGTATCTTGGGGAGGGATAGTGACGCTGTGAAGGTTTTCATGCATAGCTCTGGGTAAGGAATAAAATGCAAGTTATCAATAGAATTGTAATGAGTTCTTTATGATGAAATACGTTCATACGTCAGGATGATACGTTTCAAGATAAGGCAATTAGCCAGAGATAATCTCTACTTATCACACGAGCCTGTGAATTATCGAATTTGGACCAGGTAAACCCGTGATGGTCAGCATGAATAACGATCGACGATATCCAATATGAATTACATTTCTTAATACCCTGTCCTTTTTATGAAGATGCAAGACAAGCACATTTTTTTTAAATAGTGCATGTTATTAAATCCTATCTCTACAAATCTGACTGATTTAAACAAATTTATATTTATTTTAAAGTCAGAAAATGTACAAGTCCATCCAATCAGCAAGAACACTTTATAAAATATACAAACCTAAACACTTATTGAAATCATGAACATCATGTTAACTATGAATATTACCATGTATATTAATGTCTTGTACTGGATTTTAACAGTATCCCTATCATTATTTATACACACATGTATTTTTTATTTTTGTTATTGTGTCTCATAAGCGTTACTTATAAATTATATGTCCATTTTTATATGCACAGCTTTTGTGACGCGTGACACATAAATAATCTCTCTCTCTCTCTCTCTCTCTCTCTCTCTCTCTCTCTCTCTCTCTCTCTCTCTCTCTCTCTCTCTCTCTCTCTCTCTCTCTCTCTCTCTCTCTCTCTCTCTCTCTCTCTCTCTCACACACACACACACAGTCTGTTTTTCGTCTCCCACGACCATGTCGTACTCTCACGTCACAAACAGAAGATGAAAGGCATGTTTTATTATATTGTCCACACTATGAAGGTCTTAGGTTTTATCTTATTTCCAAATGTCGTTAAGTATGATCTGATTTTGATAGTTGTAGGGATTTACAGAAAGTGGGTTTTATACTGCCCAGCCCAGTATTGTTTTTGACGACTGCCAAGATCTGAAAGAATATTATAAAAACCAGATCGGATGCCCTACACCATGTAGTACTATAGATTATTCTCTTTTGTGAATTGCCTGGTACAGTCATTTTTATCGTGTATAATACATGTGAAAATGTATACATATTTTACCAATGTCATATATTCTCTCATAATTTTGTAGGGAGTTTCACGTTACTTTATATCACGATATTTTTAGAGTTTATTTCCAGTGTATTATAAAGTTGAGGTGAGACTCAAATAAATTATCTGTCTGTCTGTAACCCGTTTCAAATCTCACTACCTTGGGATCATTTCCGGCCTGTCTGAGTGAGCACCTTGACCTAATCACGTCTACTTTTGGCCATTTTGGCGTTACTGCCACGTACTGTCTCGCCATATTGACTATTATTACAAAGCAGCAATCTCCCACAATTCTCCCACAATGTTACACATGGGTGTCAAACTATGCTTGCATGTTTCTGCATGCATTTTCAAGGAATACGTTGCGATTGAGTACATGGTAACATCCATTCGGGAATAATTCCTTGCAGGCAGCATTGAAAAAAACCACAATGCTTGTGAACATTTCTCATGCGATCGCTTACTGTTTCAATAACTATATTTTCTCCCAAGTGTAGCTAACGTACCTAGTGCTACTTCTTACCGAAACGAGGGCGGTCGGGTAGCCTAGTGGTGAAGCGTTCGTTCGTCACACCGAAGACCCGGGTTCGATTCCCGATATGGGTACAATGTGTGAAGCCCATTTCTGGTGTCCCCCGCCGTGATATTGCTGGAATATTGCTAAAAGCGGCGTAAAACCATACTCACTCACTCTTACCGGACCGGGTTAACCTGACAAACAAATCTTTCCTTCAGTATGCAAGGGCACCGCGTACCCAATGAAAACATCCTTTGTGGTCATTATACCGTCCCTCGGAGCACCAAGTGTTATTGCAAAGTGTTGAATATGCGATCACTTAGTGTTCAATATTGTGAAATGTGTTCTTCAAAACGCAAACATACGAACCGGCATCTCAACGGGTGTTTAAATAGTAGCTCTTGTTTCAATGAACAAATGTGTGCTCTGAATCCTCTGTACCCATTGAAATGAGGGTTGAGCTGGGATCACAAGAACTAGTATTGCAGGCAGTTTGGCAGAGTATAGGTTTAACAGAGTTAATATATGTCTTATATGTCCCCCGAGTAAGTTAAACATACCAATCTAATTATTCACAAGGCTGCACAATACAAATTATAAGAGCAATTGGGCTATTATGACAATTGCCAGCAGCACGGAGTCATGTGCAGGTCAGTGGCTTCTAATTAATACTAGAGAATGTCCGGTTGGCCACTGAAGCTTTACATCGGGATGAGATGCGGGTTACTACAGACTGACGAGAGAAGTATCGTATTTGATACGTGGCAGCTGGTCAGTGATATGACTGGTTAAAGTTAGAATACTTTCTGTTGGTCGAGACTTGACCCTCGGACAGCGGCGAGGCAGGTTTAGGTTGGGTCTCTGGCGCCTTGAGATGCTGCCTGGCCACGTCTGTTTCGTTATCATAATCATGATTATGTAGATACTGTATTTATTATATCACAAATGAAGTGGTATGGACCCATGATGGACTACTGTGTTTGAAGGACAGATATCCCAACATTAGACCGGCATATTAGGCTTGTTCTGTAACCAGTTTTCCAGTGTCGACAGTTCTGACTGTCTATACTTCAATGGTCAACTGGCGTGGCACGGTGACTAACTATTAGCATGTCTTCAATAATCGGCATTGTGGACACAATAATATCATCTGTACATGCTGTATTCTTAGAGCAACCAGGAAAAATGGCACTTGCTTGATAACTTTATTGTAACAAAGAAGTTGTTCATACCCATATCTTATCCTTATTCAGTACTCCAACTTCTAACTGCCTTTCGAAGAAGTTCTTGGTACAATTGCAATGAAAAATATTTTAGCTTCGCCGATTCATCGGGCTTATTCCGACGAGGGAAGTTGACTGATCTGCTGTAAGCAGTCGCAAATTTCATACCAGTGCCTAAGAAGAAGTAGATAAGACACACTTTTCTGACCTTACTTTGAGTGATGTTCGTGCGTGGATCTGTTTATGAAACATTTACATAAAACTTATGTCTGTTCAAC